GGGTAGGTGGGTGGGGGGGGGGGTGGGGGGGGGGGGGGGGGGGGGGTGGGGGAGGGGGGGGAGGGTAAGCTTCCTACATGCCCCCTCCCCCTTCCTCGGCTCCGACATCTGTGTGACAACATACATGTATTCTGAGCGGAGCTTCACAACCGTCCTAGGTTATGGATTGTGCTCAAATGCTTTAGGTGTGCATCCCAACGCAATTCCCAGGTGAGCATTCAGCAAGGTCAACACACTGACACACTTTAGTGCTAGGCCATTATCTGCCAGCGATGTTTAATATGCGAGTTTATGTTCTTCCAATCAAATTCTCCACAAAAATGCTTCATAAATATGCCAACGTGTTTTAAAGCACACCGTATTTGGCTGAGGCACGGGGTAATGCCCGTCATTGATTTCTGAGGACGACCCGAGGCCTCGTTTGAATAAAACCCCATCGATTTGTCGCAGTCTGCGGCTCACTAGCTCACTTCAGAAAATTATCGATCTAGAAGGCTAATCTCCAGTGAGAGAGAGAGTTTCTTTGTCTGTGAGTCGTAAGCGTGCGGAAGAGAGGGAGATCTTTGTTCATAGTCATCAACACTCGGAATACTCTAGGAACTAAAACTGAGGCACGGGGGAAGCCGGGCGGGATTCATTTGGTCCTGCGGCCAGTTACCAGAAGCCGAATATCTTCAGCCTGCTGGGTAGGTGAAGAACAGACTAGCCGACAGGTTAGCGTATCTCTTGGCGGTTGAGCGGTATATGTCAGTGTTCGAGCTGATAATTGAAATCATTGGTGCCCTGGTAGCATTTTCAAACCAAAACATCAGGCAGTGTTTTTTCACAAGCAGTCCAGGCAGTCAATGCCTCATCTCTTCTAGGCATGCAGGACGTGTGAACTCAGCAAAGCCGGTTATTTTACTCTCTATCCAAGCTCCTCGGCAACGCTTTTGGTGAATCTCGGATCAACTTAACGCCAAGTACGATCAGGAACAGTGTATACAATTGACTTGTAGCCTAAAGAGGCCTCTGACCACTACCCACAGCGTACAGTATTGGTGACCGACATACCGAGTGGGTGAAAGCCTACCTCTCCTACAGCAGCACTGGCAGCAACCATGTTAAACCTTGGTTGTGCCTGCGTCTTTATAAGATGGCTAACGGCATGGTTGGTGTTAATAGTCTTCACCTCCCTCCTGCTGGTGGGACGAAATGGCGATCAAGTGGTCTTCAACCACCATCTTGACCCTGCCTCACTGACCACCCTGGTCTTTGCCGCTGTCCAGTTCCTCGTGGTGCCCCTGGTCATTGTAATGCTATGCAAGAATGATATTGCCATCAGTTTCGTCAAGTAAGTATTCTGTATATATAAATTTATGACAAGGAATATCAACAACGCTAACCTACTTCTAATTTATTTAATAAACCAAGTGTTGTAAAGCCCATTGTCAGTATAATATGTTTACATATTACATGTGACCCAAAGCGATGCCGTGCATGATTACTCATTGTTTTAGTGGGCTTATGCAATCAATTCCCGGATAATGCGCTATTGTATCGATCGCCCGGACTGTTCTTGGGACGTTGTCAACACTGTAGAAAATATACCATAATGACTATATAAATAATACAAGTAACAGATATGAGTAATAGAAATAAATGATTCAGTGTTAGAGTGGGCCAGAAAATTTATAGATTCGGTTTTATTTACCCAACCCTTCCATAGGTTAATTCATGTACATGTATTTTAGAACTATGCACCCGTATATTTGGGTACATTTGATTTTGCCATAATAACGTTAAACTTAAGTTTTGGTTGGCACTACAGCTAATGTGTATTTATTTATTTATTTATTTATTTATTTATTTATTTATTTATTTATTTATTAAGTCAGTCAGTTGGTTAGTTCATCTTCAGACTTTCACCTTACTGCATTTTAGAGCAATTTGATTATTTTCTTCAAACTCTCATAAATACCACATTTTACAAAATGCAAGAAAATAGCGTAAACCTCATCATAGGACATATGTTATGTAATATCTCTGGCTGGCAAAATATTGACTTTGCCCCTCTTAATACGGAATTCTGGTATCATGACAGCAGTTTCTGGGCAATATGTTTTTACATGACATTTCAGGGCAAGTAATTCTAGCACATCTTCTAATCACATTTTCTATAATTGGATATTGGTTATATCAAGTAAACAGCTTGATATATTCAGATAGCCTTCCACAGTTCACTTCCCTTATCAGCTAACCTGACTGATGTTACTGTGTTTATATGCGTGGCATTTACCGAATGCAAAAATGAAAATAACTAAAGCAGATATTATATACATGTACGCTAGTTTTCTGTAATAATTAGTTTTGTATTGCTTCGGTTCATATAACACTAATGGATTTAGGAATAGGTTCTTTCTGATTAAGTGCGACAAAGAAAAAGAAGCAATAAATAAATAAATAAATAAATAAGAACAAAAACTGTCATATAGTAAACAGTTTCACATAAACATTTATTACTCTGATTATGTTCTGCTTGTCCGTATATGAAAACAAACTTACAAATAAAATGAGATTTTATAAAGCATGAATAATGACCGCCGCAAGCCAGACAAGCTCCTGGAAACATGGGTTTCATATATAGGTCATTTCCTAGAACCTTATACAATAGTTTGGTATACCTTGATACAGAACTCTGCGGGAAACGCTGGACCAGGTGTTAAGCTGGAGAGCAATTCAGTTTATTTTCTCTGGACAAGCAGTTATCTTTGCGTGGAGTCTGTGAGATGACCCAAGTTGGACAGGCCCCACAACTCTACTCGGTTTTTGCTCACATCTGATTTTCAGTCCGTTCCTTGTAATTTTTATGTACAGTATGTGTTGGTTTGCGTGCCCATGTATTGTAAGCCTATTTCGAGCTGGAACATTTCGCACTTGACTATCTTATATTGTGGCGGAAAAAACGAAAAATAAACAATTGAAGGATTTTACGAAATGTCTCATTATTGGGCGTTTCACATTGAGCTAAACACATATAAATAGCTGGTCAGAATATTATGGTAGATAAGAAATACTAACTTGCTTTTCCACCCATGTGAATGCGGAAAGATAAATGCAAACTTGATATGAAGCACGAATTATATTCAATTTTCATTGAGTGAACGTTCGATGGTAATACGGTTACGTGCCGCAGATGGAAACCTTGCTTTTCTTTGTCTCTATTCAGTCCACAGTTTGTATTAACCTAGTAGGGCACCGTGACCTCTGGGCTGCTTACAAAGGCGATCATATTACGTGATTTAATTCCCCGAAGCCTTAAAGAAGAATCAACTAACAAGAACTGATATTGATTAGCTGCGCGCTGAATGCACTGTGTCACTTATGGTGGGAGTATTAAATGAAATATCGATCATAAATGCACAGAAGCAGACTAAACCGCTTTTCATTTAGTTAGCATACGTGATTACAACATTATAATCGATTTTGTGGATATTTATTCGCCTGTTTTGTGTATCTCATGTCTTGCACGATATACCTGTGCTGCTTTTTCTGCCACGAGGCGGCGTTTTCTGTGTTGTCAGTATTGTGTAGGTTTGGGCTGCACCGTTCGTGGGTAGATGTCAGTTTAACCGCTACAATTACCAAATTGGCAGCTTCCCTGTCTTCTTCTCAACGCCTGGAGAAGGCGTGTTACTCTGTTAGACTGGGTTCCGACAGATTTAGATCGATCCATCTGGATCGACCTAACTAGCTGGGGGTTCACGCTAAATATTGCTACCAGCTTCCGGGAGCAGAGCGAGCACAAAAGTTAATGACCCCCATACAGCTTTTAGTAGGCGGGACAGACATTTAAGCCGATTAAGCTGACAGCAATCTAGTGACACTCCCCAGGGGGATAGATCGATCTAAATATCTGCGGGAATGGTCTCTTAATCGCCAGTGTTATCGCGTATGAGCCGTTGGTTTCTAGATGTACTAAAACGGTTCTTGAACTATTCCAAGTGAGAATTTGTGAACCTATGATGATTAGCAGCAGCATAACTGGACGACTGCGGTGGAACTCGAACCCACAGCCTCCGAATCACTTATCCACATTAGAAGTCCGACGCGCTAATCCATTGCGCCACGGAGCCGTTCATGCCACTCTTTTTTTTATGCATTCCAGATCGGATATTCTGTGTTGGAAGCTAACACTTTAATTTCAAAAAGGGGGAAAAAATTGGTGCATATTGTTGTGCACCTAATAGTGGAAGGGTAGTTTTTCTCTTTAATTTTACTTTGCTTATTGATTTCTCATTTTCTCTCTTTTGAAAAAACACATTTTCATTGCAGCTAGGGCCTACTAATATTTTAAAGCGTCTACATATTTTGTACGGGAAACATACAGTGTGTATATAGAATAGAGTATATTTTAAAACCATTAACATTCTTTTTCCAGGATCATCTACTGGTTCTCCGACCCTGTATCAACATGCGTGCTTCTCTCCCCAATACTAATTGCCACGGTGCTACCAAAGTTATGGCTGCCAGACGCCAACGCCATAAACACCGCCCAGAGAAACGCTACAAGCAGTGCCGTTGTTTGGTTGATGGAAAAAAACACCAGTATTCTCCAAGTCTGTCCCTTGTGGTTCTCTGGTCAGTGTACAGTGGACACGGGGCCTCTGCTCAATTCACTGAGTGTTGGAGCTGTGGTGAGAATTTTTAGCTATTAGAATACAAAATGTGTTAAATTGTACCTGATTACAACATTCCTTGTCTATCTAATGCAATTTGATTTTAATCAGTTTTTCAACTGAAGTTTTTAAATAATATAATATAATATAATATAATATAATATAATATAATATAATATAATATACTGTTGGTCAGAATCATTCAGGAATTTCAGAGTTACCTGAAACACAAGACATGAGAACTCGAAGTATAAATCACGTCTCACTCATTGCATGTTTTCTTTGAATCCTCCGCCAATGTTTTCACTTGTCTTTTTGTTCGTTTGTCCATTCGTCACCAGTCCTAACTAAAAAAACTTATGGGTGGATTTTGATGAAATTTTCTGGATATGCAAGAAATGGACTAACTTAAAAATGAATAGTTTAATGTGGAGAACTGGATGACCATCTGGACCCATTGGATATGTTCTCAACTAACACAATACATCAGTTACATGTCTGGATATTATGCATCGTTACCAAGTTTTTTTTAGATTATTACTTCCACCAAAGAGGTAATATTAATGTTACTGAGCTAATTAATTAATCAATTGATTGATTGATTTACCAACTTACTAACTGATAAAAATCGATAATAACGAAAATTAATCTGCTTTCCTAGTGCTTTTGTAGTCTTGTAAATGATATCACATGGGTTTAACGATAAGTCTCCCACTTTTCAGCGCTCGTGGATCCTTTGTGCGCAGTTCTCCGTTTTACTCCCAGTGGTGCTGCGCCTGATCCAGATCCAGTGGAGCATGGACCTGGCTATTGCAGACAGGCACCCGGTGTCGACATCTAGCGACGGGGATGCAGACCACAAATTGCTGAACCAGTTCATGTTCGTTCTCATCACGGTGTTCTGGATCGTGGAATCTTTGGAGGTCTGCCTCATTCTTGACGCTGCAGCTTTTGGCAGGGAATACATAGATATTGTTCAAGGATCTGCCATCGCTGCCGAGGTTTATATTGTTCTGGCTAATGCTATATTGCACAAGGCGGTGGATGCGTTCTGCAAGGAGACGGCTTATTCGTCTCTATTGCAGGCCATTGTAGTATACATGGCGTCATTTCTCGTTGATCTGCCAATCTTGATCTGTCGCGTGAGACTTTTCTGGTTTGTTGATACCACGGGAAGACTTGAAGGTTCCTTTTTCATCTGGCTCATCAAGGATTTAGCCGTCATTATATCTTGTCTCATTATTGGCTGCGTGATACTCATCAAGAGAGTGTGCAAAAAACGCTGCCCGTGCCAAAGTCACTGCAAAATAGCCGAGCTGGACTGTTTCAGAGAGGCTTACCGAAGTAAAATGCACGTAAAAGAAGCCTTCAAGAGCTCCCACTGGGTGAAATTTCTTTGTGCTTTTTTCACCCTATTTCTTGTCGGTGCGCTGATAGGTGTGGCTTTAGTGATAAACGCATTTGCTCGCTAACACCAGTGACTTCTTATTCTTCTGATTCTAACTGAATATTTTTACAGTTCAACATGTAAAAGGATTTTGACATTTTTTACGTATGTATTGGTGCGCCGGTTTGTAAACTAATATAGTGTAGCTGTAATATTCTTATGTACAATTTCATATTTTGCATTTTCTTGTACGTATATTGCAAATGAACGCTGCCAAATTTCAGAATTTAACATTTCTTATACCTGCATAATGGGGATACACTGTGCTTAAACACTTAAAAAGTATTTTTGGAAGGAAATGTCACTTAATGGGACATAAAAGCTACTTGAATGCCACTTTTTGGTCCTTTGCAGTCATTTTCTGCACATTTTGTTCACTTCTAACGGGATATTGTCGTCACTGGTATTTTACGCATTTAAATGCGCATTGCAAGAGGCCCTGAACTAGACTTGAAAAAAGTCTTACGTTTCCATAGACAGTATTAAACCTTTTTATATCAACATGAACTCCTTTTATGTGTGCTTGTCTTATCATCTTGGTGACACTTGTTTAAAAGGGCCGAGGTTTTCATTTACGTGTGTTTATTTATTTTGAATGTACTTATTTATGTAAGAATTGAATAAAAGCAATGTGTATCAGAAACACGCCTTAGTGACCCTCTTCTCGTGTTGCACTATGTGATTTTCTTGTTTCCGTAGTTAAATTATCAGAATTTTGCTTTAAGCGCCAGTCTCTGTTTTACCAAAATCAGAAGATAACTTGATGGAAATTAAGAAGTTAAAGTCTTCTCTAGTAGAGTACCCAACTAACACAATATGTAACAGGGAGCGTGCTAAGATTCTACAAAAAGATAGTGGCTAGACAACTAAGGAGTAATGGGAGTCACATGGGAGTAATGGGAGTCAATTTAGTGGATCTTTTCACAGACACGTTTACATTCATACAACAAACGCAACCCACTAAAAAGAACAAATTGCGATTTTATTAAAAGATATTTTATTAAAGGGGTATTCCCTAATGACAGTGTCTTTCTAGACAATGAAATAATGGAGTGAGAGATATCAGTTGAGAATGTTACGTTCAGTGACCCCAGAGGTACAAGAACCTGGACAGCCATCACTGGAATCAATTTGGTTTTGCTGAAGAACGAATGTACTAAAACATTTCCTGTATATTGATGGCCAAATGAGGGTCCGTAGACGTGTTGCAGAATGCCTCTTGAAAAGGTGTGCGCAAGACAATATCACCTAAGAAGTCAAATTCTTTCGCATTTCGAGAGCATTCCAAGCCCATGGTTTTCGTACGTTTTTTTCTGGAACAGAATGTTATTAGGGTATTTTGCTGTAACATTCTCCACGGATATCCTGTATCTCACTCCATTTGCAAAAGATGTCTTTGGGAGTAACCCTGAGCTCCACCATAGCGCACTTGCTCAGTTCAAGTTCGTACAGTTCGTACTGGGAATGGTCTCTTCTGTTTCAATTAGCTTGCCAAAATAAAATGTGTGCATGATTTAGTGGCTCGTATTTTACTAACATGATGTCATGGTTTATGGTTTTCGTCTATTCTGTAAGGTAGCTTTCAGTATCGCTTTTAATTTTTGAAAAAAAGGAACGACTCCGGTGGGACTCGAACCCACAGCCTCCGAATCACTTATCTCCATTAGAAGTCCGACGCGCTAATCCATTGCGCCACGGAGCCGACATATTAGTACGTCCGTTACAGTCAAATCGTCGGCAAATTACTACATGCACCTATTACACCGCCGTCCTTAGGATAATTTGCATAAAAAGCTACATATATGTTAATGTTTTGTTAGGTCTATTGTTGGCAAGCACGTGCTGCGTGTAATCTTGTTCGTCTCAATGTCTACTTGCAAATAGTTTTCTGTCGAGCACGATGGAAGAGATAACGATATTTCACCTTTACCTAATGACTACGTGTTTCAATTACAATTATATGGAAGAGCTCAATGTCGGTAAATTTTGACAACATAAAGAGAAATTTTACAGGATCTAGAGAATAACTTGATCAGGAAGAAAGACAAGCCTAACGGATTTGTCTACTGATGTTTTTGGTAGTTTTATATTTACTTCTGTATAGTCTATTGTACAAAAGTGCGAATTCACCTTCTTTTACGTGCCAGATTTATAATTTGTTTTCTTCAACGACATTACTGGCACAGAGAATTTTACCCTTATTGACAAACAGTCAACCTCCGCCCTATCAGATTTCCGCACGTTTGACGCCACACCGTGTTACGCTTTCGCGGTTTTCCCACTGGGGTAATACCATGCTTACAGTAGGTTTTATCAATTGATTTAATAATCACCAAAAGCCAGTAATTACCAACATTTCCAATACCCGTTCATCTTCATATTCTGAAGAAATATGTTAAAAATTTGACCTCACCGAAATGGCAAAATGATCACGTCTACGTGTCATTAATTTGCTTGCAGTGTGCAGTGATGGCTTCTTGCGCAAAAACCAGTGGCGGATTTAGAGGAGGGGTTATGGGGGTCCTGACCCCCCCCTTCGGTTTCTGAAAAATATATCGCACCAATATTTCCCTCTTGAAATTAGAATTTTGACCAACTAAATTCTAGTTCTAAACCGTACAAAAGGGCACTGTTTGTTCCCCAAAACACCGAAAAAATTTCGGAGTCCTTGAGCATTCCCCGTACCCCTCACCAAGCGGGCGATGGTCGGCTTTGCATCAGAGGCCTGTCATTCCGGACCCCCCCTCCCCCTTCATATAATCCTGGATCCGCCCCTGAAAAATCATTACAGTTTATTTGAAAACGTGCCACACGAGGTCATTCGCACACTCGCCAGTTCAGAGCTTTATTATACTCGTGATCACGCCAATATTTAGAGACCAGTATAGCGAACTACCTTCTCCCAGGGCCACGGATGGATTTTTCACTAGATATCCACAGATACGTACAGTATCTTGTTAAATCATGGTACATTTCTCCACTGTCGCGTTGGAGATAAGTACCATGAATTGGACAAAATTACGTTATCATGTCCAAGATAAACATAATTAATCTGCAACCCTGGTAGAAGGTAATGTCGAGCACTGAAATAAGGTTTCTCAAACGTCCAGTAAGCTGGGGAATCATTTGTCGAAAACAGAATATAAAAAAGGCGAACTGATATTAGTATGGTCATAAGCTCAGCCAAGCAATACGACCCTGAGTATCTACTAATATATCTAGGCGTTACGTACACAGTATTGAGTGCCCCTTTAATCACCCCATGACGTCCCTTGATGATGGCGATCGGCTGTATCATCATGTTTTATGAGGCCAGTGTTCGCGCAGAAGCCCATCAAATAATAATGAAAAAGGCCTCAGGTATATTAACGTTCCCTTATGTAAAAAAAATTAATCAGGGTCAATTACTGGAGACTAGCTTTGTATTGCTGAACCTAACTTATTGTCAGTTGGATGCCAGAATTACCCACGGCGCACGGCTATTCCAGGACAGTCAGGAATTACTGGGGAAGAGGTGCTGGAAATGAAAGCACGCCTTTATTTTTTTGGATTTCACTGCCAAAGATCTAAAAAAAATTCTGTTGAATCTACAATTTACTGCATGGACCAATTCTGTTATAGAGGATCCCTGGAGGGCTTATGAATTCCTTAATAAACTACAGTAACTGACACGCACTTGAAAGTAATGCTACTTGGTCGTTGATGTGACATGAATTAAAATGCAAAAAGAAGTGGAGTTACACGGAACGCCAAAGGAAACCACGGAGACTCGAAACGAGAGCAGTGTTTGGATGACATTTTTTGAAGAAACAACTTTGCATGGGGCACGCTTCTTGGCCAAAAGGTCACTAATACGCAGGTAATAATACACCGGGTATTTGTTGTTGTTTTCTATTTGTGTAATTGACGTTTTAAGATATTTATCCTGAAATATTTATCTTTTCTTCGATATTTCACTGTCTGTGGTGTCATTCATGTGGAATTGAAAGCAATTTCATCTTGAAGCACTCTTTGTACTTATTTGATAATTCATGATCACATGTAATTACATGTAACACTGTGCAAGGAAATTGGTGCACTGTTTTTTTTCTTTAGCTAAATGCGGGATGATGTGTTCTTTCTTTTACAAAAAAATACACATTTCTGTCTTCCTTTAGTGACTGAAAATCTCCACAAAATCGACGAATTTCCCTGCCATAAAGCAAAAGCTAGAGAACTGTTAACCATCATTCCATAGACTCACAAAGTAAATTGAAACTGCTGTGCATTGCTAAATACAATGTACACATTAAAATCACCCTTTCCTTTTCTGTCACAAAGTAAAACAAAAAGATCTAGCAATTAAAATACACTGAACTTGCCATGAGCCGCACTTATACTATTGATGTGTCCCATATCAACCATAACAAATAAACTGCAATTTATTTATGCCTACATGTACCAGTAACGTTGACTTGCAATATCTTGCAGTCTAGCAATCTAGCGAAGTGCAGAAAAAACAACAGTCATAAATTATACTTGGCACGTTCCGATAGATCAACTAGATAAGTGCCCATTTGTAGCTAGCTATTCCCAGCACAATGTCAGTAAAGCTGAAATTGGAAAACACGACTACAAGCATACCCAGTGGCTACATACATGTATGTATATTCCATAAGGACCTATTTGCTATTGACTGCAATACTAAAATTAACACTTAATTTCTAAGTAAAAAAAAAAAATAAATAAATAAATAAATAAAAATAATAATAATAATTTGTGTCTACTTGATCTTTACCGACTTTTTAAAATACTTATAATAGTATGACATACCTATTAAAAGAAAAGTACAAACTAAAGTAAGATGTTAGAAATTTGGCCGATGACGGCCTCATTTATTGAAGGTCCCTCTGGTAAAAGAAGTGAAGCAGTTTAGTGATAAACATCGAATAGTGTTGAGTAGTGATTTTAACATAAAGTGTACGCAGAATATCTATAGTATATATATTATTTCTAAACATATAGTGCATACATTTTAATTTTCGGGTTTGCAAAGAGGCCAAAGTTGTCCAAGCCAAAAGTTGCGCAAGCCAAAAGTTGTCCATACCAATCATGCTATTTGACGTACATCAGGATAATTCTGACGATGCACCAGATAACTCTACGGCTAATTTTTAAAACTTTTCGTCTTGAAAACATTAATTTTTGAGCAAATCCAACCAGTTTAGCACGATATAGGATAAACATCCAACTATAAATCGGGGGCCCCTTCGATATGTTATTCTTAGTTGTCTCAAAACGTTATTCGTTCAATTAAAAAAAATTGTTCCATTTTTCATGTTTCTTTTTATTTTTTTTTTTCAGAATTGTTTGGGCCATCTTTCTTTTAATGGCGACTTTAACTTGTCTCGTCATGATCACGTACTCTGTCATCGACTACTATCACTACCCGGTGCAAACCAAAGTCGGCATAGAATACCGTCGTTCTCTCCGCTTTCCAGCTGTGACCATCTGCAACGTCAACCGATACAAAAAATCCAAAATCATCAAAAACCAAACGCTGATGTCGCTGCTTCATTACATCTCTCCGCTACCCGCCTCTCTGAAAAACGACATCAACAGGTCTGATCCTCTCCTGCCAATAGTGCTAAACACTACGAAGACCGACAGCCTGATTTCCATGGCCGGATATAGCGTAGACGACATGTTCTGGAGCTGCTTCTGGAAGAACCATGCCATCAACTGCAGTGAGGCGTTTACTACAACTTTTACCAGCATGGGGCGCTGTTTCACGTTTAATTCTAATGGCTCGCTCACCGCCGAGAGGACTGGAAGTTCTTCTGGACTGTGGTTGCGTATGAAATTGCAGCATGAGGAGTATACGCCGGGGTTTGCTTTGTCGGCTGGTGTTAAGGTAACTGATTTCGTCGCTGCGTTTTAGGTCCAGCGTTCCCAGCGCATCTTACCCACAATTCAAAGAGTAGACCAATTCACAGAGTGAGCATGTGAAGAGAGTTTTTTTGCACAGTATGCGTGGATAATTTATGACTCTTAATAATTGTGTAGGGTATAGTGTGTATAAGGGAGCATTCACATAGAGAAGAGCCGAGGTCTAGTAAGTCCGCGACCTAAATATGGCGGACCTACATGAAAGGAAGACCGCTTAACCCATGTATGGTCTCTCCGCCTATCACACGCCTCCCCATGTGTCGTCCCAATGGAGCCGAGATTTAATGACTGTACCCCCGCAGGGACGACGCGGGGGGGGGGGGGGGGGGGGGGGGGGCGTGTGAGAGGCGGAGAGACTATTAAGATTAGGCGGTTTTTCTTTCATGTACGTCCGCCATATTTAGTTCATGGATTTGTAGAACCATGGCTCAACTCGTTGTGAATGCGGTCTAATTAAATCTCGGCTCAATTCAACCGGTCGAGGGACGACGCTTGGGGAGGCCTGTGAGAGGCGGAGAGACCATTACAGGATTAAGCGGTTTCCTTTTCATGTAGGTCCGCAATATTTAGGTCGCGGCCTTATTAGACCTCGGCTCTTCTTGATGTGAATGCTCCCTAATTGTGATGAGTAATTACAAAATGCTAATATACAATGTCAGTTACAATTTATAAAGCCAAAATATAGAGCATTTACTAGTACATCGTTGTCTTAAACATTAAAATGTTAGGCGCTGCTCCACGAGCCATATGAAGTCCCTCTAGTACACGAACAAGGCTTTGCTGTGTCTGCAGGCTATGAGGCACTTGTCGCTATACGCATGACACAAGTGAGTATACAGTTAGCTAGATGTGGATTGGACTATCATATAGTATATATGTACAGCATGTGTGTAATAAAGTGATATATTGAAAGAATAATGAAACGCACGTGTCGTCTTAAGATCTGAACTAAAATTTTAATATGCAGTTTGTATAGTGTGTCAGTATATTTTAAGAAGTACCACGGGTAATTTTCGGCTGGTCTGCTCATATTGTTTATATTATCCTATACTTAACACCTTCATATATTGAAGTTAACCAATAGTTCTTCATTTTTATCAATAGTTAGGTGAGTGAGAACATTACACAGTATTTAAGTTTTCTTATGCCTTTATAGATAATAGGCCAGGCCCTGCCATATCGCGGCATAGACTGCATAGATACCAAGGCCTCGACGTTTCGAAACCCTTTAAAATTTTACCCCACGTACAGTTTGTCCGGGTGTATATACGAGTGCCAGGCAAGATACGTTAATGACGTATGCGACTGTACCTTGTTTTATCATCCAGGTAAGCTATATTTATTACCACCAGCATGAGCGCTGGCGGTACTCGTGGTTTTGATCCCGACCCTGCCCATTTAGTACTCTTTTTTTTTGGTTAATTTCTAATTTATTTTATTTATAAAGTATCAACACACACTGTGCTCCTCATACGCTTCTACAGCAAAACAAAATGATTTCAGCAAGTTTCCTTTTATCTCTAAGGTTAATCCAATCCAAAACCGTTGCAAAAATTATTATACACTATATAGCATTGCTCACGCTCTCTCATTTTTATGTACAGACACAGATGNTTTTTAGTCCGTTCCTTGTAATTTTTATGTACAGTATGTGTTGGTTTGCGTGCCCATGTATTGTAAGCCTATTTCGAGCTGGAACATTTCGCACTTCACTATCTTATATTGTGGCGGAAAAAAACGAAAAATAAACAATTGAAGGATTTTACGAAATGTCTCATTATTGGGCGTTTCACATTGAGCCTAAACACATATAAATAGCTGGTCAGAATATTATGGTAGATAAGAAATACTAACTTGCTTTTCCACCCATGTGAATGCGGAAAGATAAATGCAAACTTGATATGAAGCACGAATTATATTCAATTTTCATTGAGTGAACGTTCGCTGGTAATACGGTTATGTGTCGCAGATGGAAACCTAGCTTTTCTTTGTCTCTGTTCAATCCACAGTTTGTATTAACCTAACAGGGCACCATGACCTCTGGGCTGCTTACAAAGGCGATCATATTACGTGATTTAATTCCCCGAAGCCTTAAAGAAGAATCAACTAACAAGAACTGATATTGATTAGCTGCGCGCTGAATGCACTGTGTCACTTATGGTGGGAGTATTAAATGAAATATCGATCATAAATGCACAGAAGCAGACTAAACCGCTTTTCATTTAGTTAGCATACGTGATTACAACATTATAATCGATTTTGTGGATATTTATTCGCCTGTTTTGTGTATCTCATGTCTTGCACCATATACAGTACTTGTTCTGCCACGAGGCGGCGTGTTCTGTGTTGTCCGTATTGTTTAGCTTTGGGCCGCACCGTTCGTCGGTAGATGTCAGTTTAACCGGTACAATAGCCAATTTGAATTTAGTTGTGTGACTAGATCCCAGTTAGCCAAGTATAATGTTTCAAGCGCTGTGTATAGGTCACCGTAAGTTTCAGTGGAAACTCTCTTCTTGGGCCCTTTTATCTTTTATATTATCCACTCGAAACTGCAGAGACATGCACATAATATTGAAGTGGCCCTAGTGACCTCTGAAACTCAGAGTGTGTGAATTTTTTTTTTTGGTAAAATGAACTCGCTGCTAGATATGCTATGATTCGCTGTTGGTATCATCTATTTTTTATTTATTTATTTTTTTTGCATTCACTAATTATTTTGTAGAAATAGTTTCTAACGTGTCGATAATGATCAAAAGCACTTGTATACTAACGGGTCCCCGAACTCTTCTAAGGGCACATTCCCAATGGCCGCATTCACATCGAGAAGAGCCGAGGCTCAACAAAGCCGCGACCTAAATATGGCGGACGTACATGAAAGGAAAACCGCCTGATCTTTTAATAGTCTCTCCGCCTCTCACACGCCTCCCCACGCGTCGTCCTTGCGGGGTACAGTCATTAAATCTCGGCTCCATTCGCCCGGAAGCTACCTGAGAAAAATTAAGTGCGCATGCTCATTGGTCTTGGGTCAGCTGACATTATCTCCGACAATAGCCGATTCATTGCTGCCCTACGGGCCATTCATTCCTTTTTCGTCTCTGTTTTGAAAGATAATAGAACAGAATAGCTTTTTTCCTTCGATCGCCACCAGCCGCCATGCTTTCTTGACCTCGAGTTTAATTGATGAGCATGCGCACTTAATATTTCTCAGGTAGCTTCCGGGCGAATGGAGCCGAGATTTAATGACTGTACCCCCGCAAGGACGCTGATCACAAGATACCGCGAATAACAAATAGTTTTTTTTTAGAAAATAGACTTGTCATGTGAACGGAGCCTAAGGGACTGTGCACATGGAAAGTCTATTTTCTAAAAATCTATTTTCTATTCGCGGTATCTTGTGATCACGGTCTGTGCCCTGAATATCCCGTGGCGTAATTACTGGCAGCGCGAGCCAGTTACTTCCGTGATCACAAGATACCGCGAGTAGAAAATAGATTTTTAGAAAATAGACTTTCCATGTGGACGGTCCCTAAGTGAATATTTGTATACCTATGATGATTAGCAGCAGCAAAACGTACCGACTCCGGTGGGACTCGAACACACAGCTTCCAAATCACTTATCTCCATTAGAAGTCCGACGCGCTAATTCATTGCGCCAAGTTCCAAGTTCCAAGTTGAGCTTCCTGCCGTCTGCGCATGCCCGAGGGTTCCAAGTTCCAAGTTCCAAGTTGCGAAGGCGGACAGGGGGGAAAAGGCGCCACGGAGCCGCACAATCTTGGTTTCTTATTAACATTCCCGATCCATACTCTGTTTTGTAGGCTCACGCTTTTATTTAAAAAAAAATAGGGGAAACAATTGCTGCATAATGTGCACCTAATAGTGGAAGGGTAGATTTTCTCTTTAATTTGACTTTGCTTATTGGTTTCTCATTTTCTCTTTTTTGAAGAATACACATTTTCATTGCAGCAACTTATATTTTAAAGTGTCCGTATATTTTGCATGGAAAATATACAGTGTGTATATAGTAAGTGCGATTTTGTGTTTGAGTATATTTTAAAACCATTAACATTCTTTTTCCAGGATCATCTACTGGTTCTCCGACCCTGTGTCAACCTGCGTGCTTCTCTCGCCAATACTAATTGCCACGGTGCTGCCAAAGTTATGGCTGCCAGACGCCAACGCCATAAACACCGCCCAGAGAAACGCTACAAGCAGTGCTGTCGTTTGGTTAATGGAAAAGAACACCAGTATTCTCCAAGTCTGTCCCTTGTGGTTCTCTGGCCAGTGTACAGTGGACACGGGGCCTCTGCTCAATTCACTGAGTGTTGGAGCTGTGGTGAGAATTTTAAGCTATTAGAATACAAAATGTGTTAAATTGTACCTGATTACAACATTCTTGGTCTATCTAATGCAATTAGATTTTAATCAGTTTTTCAACTGAAGTTTTTATATAATATAATATAATATAATATAATATAATATAATATAATATAATATAATATAATATAATATACTGTTGGTCAGAATCATTCAGGAATTTCAGAGTTACCTGAAACACAAGACATGAGAACTCGAAGTATAAATCACGTCTTATTCATTGCATGTTTTCTTTGAATCCTCCGCCAATGTTTTCACTTGTCTTTTTGATCGTTTTCCATTCGTCACCAGTCCTAAAACTTATGGGTGGATTTTGATGAAATTTTCTGGATATGCAAGAAATGGACTAACTTAAAAATGAATAGTTTAATGTGGAGAACTGGATGACCATCTGGACCCATTGAATATGTTCTCAACTAACACAATACATCAGTTACATGTCTGGATATTATGCATCGTTACCAAGTTTTTTTAGATTATTACTTCCACCAAAGAGGAAATAGTAATGTTACTGAGTTAATTAATTAATCAATTGATTAATTGATTTGCCAATTACTAACTGATAAAAATAGATAATAACGAAAATTAATCTGCTTTCCTAGTGCTTTTGTAGTCTTGAAAATGATATCACATGGGTTTAACGATAAGTCTCCCACTTTTCAGCGCTCGTGGATCCTTTGTGCGCAGTTCTCCGTTTTACTCCCAGTGGTGCTGCGCCTGATCCAGATCCAGTGGAGCATGGACCTGGCTATTGCAGACAGGCACCCGGTGTCGACATCTAGCGACGGGGACGCAGACCACAAATTGCTAAACCAGTTTATGTTCGTTCTCATCACGGTGTTCTGGATCGTGGAATCTTTGGAAGTCTGCCTCATTCTTGACGCTGCAGCTTTTGGTAGGGAATACATAGATATTGTTCAAGGATCTGCCATCGCTGCCGAGGTTTATATTGTTCTGGCTAATGCTATACTGCACAAGGCGGTGGATGCGTTTTGTAAGGAGACAGCCTATTCGTCTCTGTTGCAGGCCATTGTAGTATACATGGCGTCATTTCTCGTTGATCTGCCAATCTTGATCTGCCGCGTTAGACTGTTCTGGTTTGTTGATACCACGGGAAGACTAGAAGGTTCCTTTTTCATCTGGCTCATCAAGGATTTAGCCGTCATTATATCTTGTCTCATTATTGGCTGCGTGATACTCATCAAGAGAGTGTGCAAAAAACGCTGCCCGTGCCAAAGTCACTGCAAAATAGCCGAGCTGGACTGTTTCAGAGAGGCTTACCGAAGTAAAATGCACGTAAAAGAAGCCTTCAAGAGCTCCCACTGGGTGAAATTTCTTTGTGCTTTTTTCACCCTATTTCTTGTCGGTGCGCTGATAGGTGTGGCTTTAGTGATAAACGCATTTGCTCGCTAACACCAATGACTTCTTATTCTTCTTATTCTAACTGAATATTTTTACAGTTCAACATGTAACAGGATTTTGACATTTTTTACGTATGTATTGGTGCGAGCGTATGTGATGCGCTGGTTTGTAAACTAATATAATGTAGCTGTAATATCCTTATGTACAATTTCATATTTTGCATTTTCTTGTACGTATATTGCAAATGAACGCTGCCAAACTTCAGAATTTAACATTTCTTATACATGTACCTGTATAATGGGGACACACTGTGCTTAAACACTTAAAAAGTATTTTTGGAAGGAAATGTCACTTAATGGGACATAAAAGCTACTTGAATGTCACTTTTTGGTCCTTTGCAGTCATTTTCTGCACATTTTGTTCACTTCTAACGGGATATTGTCATCACTGGTATTTTACGCATTCAAATGCGCATTGCAAGAGGCCCTGAACTAGACATGAAAAAAGTCTTACGTTTCCATAGACAGTATAAACCTTTTTATATCAACATGAACTTTTAATGTGTGTGTGTCTTATCATCTTGGTGACACTTGTTTAAAAGGGCCGAGGTTTTCATTTACGTGTGTTTATTTATTTTGAATGTACTTATTTATGTAAGAATTGAATAAAAGCAATGTGTATCAGAAACACGCCTTAGCGACCCTCCTCTCGTGTTGCACTATGTGATTTTCTCGTTTGCGCAGTTTAATCATCAGAATTTTGCTTTAAGCACCAGTCTCTGTTTTACCAAAATTGGAAGATAACTTAATGGAAATTAAGAAGTTAAGAAGTCCTCTCTAGTAGAGTACCCAACTAACACAATATGTAACAGGGAGAGTGCTAAGATTCTACAAAAAGATAGTGGCTGGACAACCAAGGAGTAATGGGAGTCATATGAGAGTAATGGGAGTCATTTTAGTGGATCTTTTCACAAACACGTTTTCATATATGCATACAACAAACGCAACCCACTAAAAAGAACAAATTACGATTTTATTAAAAGATATTTTATTAAAGGGGTATTCCCTTTTGACAGTGCGCTTTCTAGACAATGAAATAATGGAGTGAGAGATATCAGTTGAGAATGTTACGTTCAGTGACCCCAGAGGTACAAGAACCTGGACAACCATCACTGGAATCAATTTGGTTTTGCTGAAGAACGAATGTTCTAACATATTTCCTGTATATTGATGGCCAAATGAGGGTCCGTAGACATGTTGCAGAATGCCTCTTGAAAAGGTGCGCGCAAGACAATATCACCTAAGAAGTCAAATTCTTTCGCATTTCGAGAGCATTCCAAGCCCATGGTTTTCGTACGTTTTTTTCTGGAACAGAATGTTGTTAGGGTATTTTGCTGTAACATTCTCCACGGATATCCTGTATCTCACTCCATTTGCAAAAGATGTCTTTGGGAGTAACCCTAAGCCCCACCAAAGCGCACTTGCTCAGTTCAAGTTCGTACTGGGAATGGTCTCTTCTGTTTCAATTAGCTTGCCAAAATAAAATGTGTGCATGATTTAGTGGGTCGTCTTTTACTAACATGATGTCATGGTTTATGATTTTCGTCTATTCTGTAAGGTAGCTTTCAGTATCGCTTTTAATTTTTGAAAGAAAAAGGAACGACTCCGGTGGGACTCGAACCCACAGCCTCCGAATAACTTATCTCCTTTAGAAGTCCGACGCGCTAATCCATTGCGCCACGGAGCCGACATTTCTGTACGTCCGTAACAGTCAAATCGTCGGCAAATTACTACATGCACCTATTACACCGCCGTCTTTAGGATAATTTGCATAAAAAAGCTACATATATGTTTATGTTTTGTTAGGTCTATTGTTGGCAAGCACGTGCTGCGTGTTCGTCTTAATGTCTACTTGCAAATAGTTTTCTGTCGGGCACGATGGAAGAGATAACGATATTTCACCTCTATCTAATGACTACGTGTTTCAATTACAATAATATGGGAGAGCCCAATGTCGGCAAATTTTGACAAAATAAAGAGAAATTTTACAGGATCTAGAGAATAACTTGATCAGGAAGAAAGACAAGCCTAACGGATTTGTCTACTGACGTTTTTGGTAGTTTTATCTTTACTTCTGCATAGTCTATTGTACAAAAGTGCGAATTCACCTTCTTTTACGTGCCAGATTTATATATTGTTTTCTTCAACGACATTAGTGGCACATAGAATTTGACAAACAGTCAACCTCCGCCCTATCAGATTGCCGCACGTTTGACGCCACACTGTGTTACGCTTTCGCGGTTTTCCCACTGGGGTAATATCATGCTTACAGTAGGTTTTATCAATTGATTTAATAATCACCAAAAGCCAGTAATTACCAACATTTCCAATACCCGTTCATCTTCATATTCTGAAGAAATATGTTAAAAATTTGACCTCAACGAAATGGCAAAATGATCACGTCTACGTGTCATTGATTTGTTTGGAACTTTCACTATGGCTGCTTGTGCAAAAACCAGTGGCGGATTTAGAGGAGGGGCCATGGGGGTCCTGACCCCCACCCCCCTTCGGTTTCTGAAAAATATATCGCACCAATATTTCCCTCTTGAAATTAGAATTTTGACCAACTAAATTATAGTTCTAAACCGTACAAAAGGGCACTGTTGTTTCCCAAAACACCGAAAAATTTTCGGAGTCCTTGAGCATTCCCCGAACCCCTAACCAAGCGGGCGATGGTCGGCTTTGCATCAGAGGCCTGTCATTCCGGACCCCCCTCCCCCTTAATATAATCCTGGATCCGCCCCGAAAAATCATTACAGTTTATTTGAAAACGTGCCACACGAGGTCATTCGCACACTCGTCAGTTCAGAGCTTTATTATACTCGTGATCACGCCAATATTTAGAGACCAGTATAGCGAACTACCTTCTCCCAGGGCCACGGATGGATTTTTCACTAGATATCCACAGATACGTACAATATCTTGTTAAATCATGGTACATTTCTCCACTGTCGCGTTGGAGAAATGTACCATGAATTGGACAAAATTACGTTATCATGTCCAAGATAAACATAATTAATCTGCAACCCTGGTAGAAGGTAATGTCGAGCACTGAAATAAGGTTTCTCAAACGTCCAGTAAGCTGGGGAATCATTTGTCGAAAACAGAATATGAAAAAGGCGAACTGATATTAGTATGGTCATAAGCTCAGCCAAGCAATACGACCCTGAGTATCTACTAATATGTCTACGCGTTACGTACACAGTATTGAGCGCCCCTTTAATCACCCCATGACGTCCCTTGATGATGGCGATCGGCTGTACCATCATATTTCATGAGGCCAGTGTTCGCGCAAAAGGCCATCAAATAATAATGAAAAAGGCCTCAGGTATATTAACGCTCCCATATGTAAAAAAAAATTAATCAGGGTCAATTACTGGAGACTAGCTTTGCTGAACCTAACTTATTGTCAGTTGGACGGCAGAATTACCCACGGCGCACGGCTATTCCAGGACAGTTAGGAATTACTGGGGAAGAGGTGCTGGAAATGAAAGCACGCCTATAATTTTTGGGATTTCGCTGCCAAAGATCTGAAAAATATCTGTTGAATCTACAATTTACTGCGTGGACCAGTTCTGTTATAGAGGATCCCAGGAGGGCTTATCCTTAATAAATTACAATAACTGGCACGTATTTGAAAAGTAAGGCAGCTTGGTCGTTGATGTAACATGAATTAAAATGCAAAAAGAAGTGGAGTTACACGGGACCCCAAAGGAAACCACGGAGACTCGAAACGAGAGCAGTGTTTGGATGACATTTTTTGAAGAAACAACTTTGCATGGGGCTCGCTTCTTGGCCAAAAGGTCACTAATACGCAGGTACACATAATACACCGTGTATTTGTTGTTGTTTTCTATTTGTGTAATTGAAGTTTTAAGATATTTATGCTGAAATACTTCTCATTTCTTTGATAATTCACTATCTGTGGTGTCATTCATGTTGCATTTAAAGCAAGTTCATCTTGAAGCACTCTATGTACTTATTTGATAATGCATTATTACATGTAATTGCATGTAACATTGTGCAAGGAAATCGGAGCACTGTGTATTTTTCTTTTACCTTAACGCGGGTTGATATATTCTTTTTTTCGCAAAAATACACATTTCTGTCTTCCTTTAGTGCCTGCAAATCTCCACAAAATCGACGAATTTCCCTGCCATAAAGCAAAAGGTGGAAAACTGTTTAACCATCATTCCATAGACTCACAAAGTAAATTGAAACTGCTGTGCATTGCGTAAATTGAAACTGCTGTGCATTGCTATATACAATGTGCACATTAAAATCACTCTTTCCTTTTCTGTCACAAAGTAAAACAAAAAGATCTAGCAATTAAAATACACTGAACTTGCCATGAACCGCACTTATATTGACGTGTCCCATATCAACCATAACAAATAAACTGCAATTTATTTATGCCTACATGTACCAGTTACGTTGAGTTGCAATATCTTGCAGTCTAGCAATCTAGCGAAGTGCAGGAGAAACAACAGTCATAAATTATACTTGGCACGTTCCGATAGATCAACTAGATAAGTGCCCATTTGTAGCTAGCTATTCCCAGCACAATGTCAGTAAAGGTGAAATTGGAAAACACGACTACAAGCATACCCAGTGGCTACATACATGTATGTATATTCCATAAGGACCTATTTGCTATTGACTGCAATACTAAAATTAACACTAAATTTCTAAGTAAAAAATAAATAAATAAATAAATAAATAAAAATAATAATAATAATTTGTGTCTACTTGATCTTTACCCACTTTTAAAATTACTTATAATAGTATGACATACCTATTAAAAGAAAAGTACAAACTAAAGTAAGATGTTAGAAATTTGGCCGATGACGGCCTCATTTATTGAAGGTCCCTCTGGTAAAAGAAGTGAAGCAGTTTAGTGATAAACATCGAATAGTGTTGAGTAGTGATTTTAACGTAAAGTGTACGCAGAATATCTATAGTATATATATTATTTCTAAACATATAGTGCACACATTTTAATTTTCGGGTTTGCAAAGAGGCCAAAGTTGTCCAAGCCAAAAGTTGCGCAAGCCAAAAGTTGTCCAAACCAATCATGCTATTTGACGTACATCAGGATAATTCTGACGATGCACCAGATAACTCTACGGCTAATTTTTAAAACTTATCGTCTTGAAAACATTAATTTTTGAGCAAATCCAACCAGTTTAGCACGATATAGGATAAACATCCAACTATAAATCGGGGGCCCCTTCGATATGTTATTCTTAGTTGTCTCAAAACGTTATTCGTTAAATAAAAAAAATTGTTCCATTTTTCATGTTTCTTTTTATTTATTTTTTTTTCAGAATTGTTTGGGCCATCTTTCTTTTAATGGCGACTGTAACTTGTCTCGTCATGATCACGTACTCTGTCATCGACTACTATCACTACCCGGTGCAAACCAAAGTCGGCATAGAATACCGTCGTTCTCTCCGCTTTCCAGCTGTGACCATCTGCAACGTCAACCGATACAAAAAATCCAAAATCATCAAAAACCAAACGCTTATGTCGCTGCTTCATTACATCTCTCCCCTACCCGCCTCTCTGAAAAACGACATCAACAGGTCTGATCCCCTCCTGCCAATAGTGCTAAACACTACGAAGACCGACAGCCTGATTTCCATGGCCGGATATAGCGTAGACGACATGTTCTGGAGCTGCTTCTGGAAGAACCATGCCATCAACTGCAGTGAGGCGTTTACTACAACTTTTACCAGCATGGGGCGCTGTTTCACGTTTAATTCTAATGGCTCGCTCACCGCTGAGAGGACTGGCAGTTCTTCTGGACTGTGGTTGCGTATGAAATTGCAGCATGAGGAGTATACGCCTGGGTTTGCTTTGTCGGCTGGTGTTAAGGTAACCGATTTCGTCGCTGCGTTTTAGGTCCAGCGTTCCCAGCGCATCTTACCCACAATTCAAAGAGTAGACCAATTCAAAGAGTGAGCATGTGAAGAGAGTTTTTTTTGCACAGTATGCGTGGATAATTTATGACTCTTAATAATGGTGTAGGGTATAGTGTGTATAAGGGAGCATTCACATCGAGAAGAGCCGAGGTCTAGTAAGGCCGCGACCTAAATATGGCGGACCTACATGAAAGGAAGACCGCTTAACCCATTTATGGTCTCTCCGCCTCTCACACACCTCCCCATGTGTCGTCCCAATGGAGCCGAGATTTAATGACTGTACCCCCGCAGGGACGACGCGTGAGGAGGCGTGTGAGAGGCGGAGAGACTATTAAGATTAGGCGGTTTTTCTTTCATGTACGTCCGCCATATTAAGTTCCTGGATTTGTAGAGCCATGGCTCACCTCGTTGTGAATGCGGTCTAATTAAATCTCGGCTCAATTCAACCGGTCGAGGATTAAGCGGTTTGCCTTTCATGTAGGTCCGCAATATTTAGGTCGCGGCCTTATTAGACCTCGGCTTTTCTCGATGTGAATGCTCCCTAATTGTGATGACTTAGAAATGAGTAATTATAAAATGTCACCTTTCTGTATAAACTTTATAAACCAAAATTCTCAATATACAATGTCAGTTACAATTTATAATGCCAAAAAATAGAGCATTTACTAGTACATCGTTGTCTTAAACATTAAAATGTTAGGCGCTGCTCCACGAGCCGTATGAAGTCCCTCTAGTACACGAACAAGGCTTTGCTGTGTCTGCAGGATATGAGGCACTTGTCGCTATACGCATGACACAAGTGAGTATACAGTTAGCTAGATGTGGATTGGACTCTTTTGAGAAGTAGCATTTATATTATATAGTATATATGTACAGCATGTGTGTAATAAAGTGATATATTGAAAGAATAATGAAACGCACGTGTCGTCTTAAGATCTGAACTAAAATTTTAATATGTAGTTTGTATTGTGTGTCAGTATATTTTAAGAAGTACCACGGGTAATTTTCGGCTGGTCTGCTCATATTGTTTATATTATCCTATACTTAACACCTTCATATGTTGAAGTTAACCAATAGTTCTTCATTTTTATCAATAGTTAGGTGAGTGAGATCATTACACAGTATTTAAGTTTTCTAATGCCTTTATAGATAATAGGCCAGGCCCTGCCATATCGCGGCATAGACTGCATAGATACCAAGGCCTCGGCGTTTCGAAACCCTTTAAAATTTTACCCCACGTACAGTTTGTCCGGGTGTATATACGAGTGCCAGGCAAGATACGTTAATGACGTATGCGACTGTACCTTGTTTTATCATCCAGGTAAGCTATATTTATTACCACCAGCATGAGCGCTGGCGGTACTCGTGGTTTTGATCCCGACCCTGCCCATTTAGTACTCTTTTTTTTAGTTTATTTCTAATTTATTTTATTTATAAAGTATCAACACACACTGTGCTCCTCATACGCTTCAACAGCAAAACAAAATGATTTCAGCAAGTTTCCTTTTATCTCTAAGGTTAATCCAATCCAAAACCGTTGCAAAAATTATTATCTACACTATATAGCATCGCTCACGCTCTCTCATTTTTTACCTTTTACTATCATGAGTGAAATTCTCTTCATTGCAACAAAATTAGCAAAATCAGTTTATACACGAACATGTATACTGAAGTCGTTTCAACGGCTTCGAATATGCTTTTCCTTTTTTATTAAAGCAACAAAGTGAGAAGATATCCTAAAAAAAAAAAAAAAAAAAAAAAAAAACGAGTCTTTTACTATACAAAGCATATTAAGGAATACATTGTATCACCAACATCTTTAAGATAACCAAATTGATGGGTGGATATAACTGATTGTATCGTGCAAGTTCAACATCTACACTTCTTCAGGTGGTTATCGGCGCTGTAATGTCTGGGAGGCATTAGTTTGTGTCAGCAAATCTCTAGGTAAGTTATCACAGGCAGCTGCACCCAATCGCATAAAAATTTAATAACGTCAGTGTGTAATGCACGCATATCTATAGCACTTATTAATTTCAATAATAGTAAGTTCAAATGCAAATGCAAAAATAATAATAATAATAAATAAATAAATAAAAAGCCTAAAACGAAGCTGATGGCACTTTGTGACGTCATTAAAGGGTAGAAAATGTGCGAGAATCAGCGAGAGGTGCTGCTGACATCTTAGTAATAAGGGTGAAAGCCTTATACACCGGTGAATGCTGTCTCTTAGATTGCAGTACAAAAGTGACAAGAAAATAAAGTGGATAAATACTGTTGTGCAAAACATTATAATTCTACCGAAATTTAGAGAAAACAATCGGGAAAATACTCTGGGAGGGATTATGTTAGTTTTTGTCCGTTAATGTGTCATTGTTCCCAACTTTAAAAGGTATTTTTGGGTCATTTGATTTTCATATTTAAATGTGATATTCATATTTTGTGTCGGATTTTTTTTCCAGTTTCGTTTATGCAAAATACAATGATAGAGACCAGATGTGGCTGCAAGCCGCCATGTTATCAGACGCTGTACAGTTCTCAACTGTCGCATCTCTCCTATCCCAACGAACCTACACTGCAGCAGTTAAAGAAGTTTAATTATACGGAGGAGTATCTGAAGTGAGTTCACTGGGAGAAGTTTTGTAGTTTTTTCCCACCCGCAATATTTTTTTCTCTTACGAAACACATTTCCTCCCTTCAAATTCCAGGAAAAAGAGGAAAAATAAAATCAATTACATGTCACTCTAACCTCCTAAAGGCAAAATAATGTTTATTAAGGGAAATAGATGTTGCAGTTACGATACGGAAATGGTCGATAAGGTATGTACCAAGATGAGTACCAAGATGGAGAGTTAAAGCGCCATCTATAGGCATGTGACCTGCCAGAGAAAGGAGGTTACTGAATTGAACCGAAAGGTTTAAAAAAAAAAAAGAGGAAAGATCTAGGTTGACCACATTCAAACTGTTGTCATATGGACATCGCACACTTATTCTCTCATGCTTTCGCCTTTTTATTTTTTCTCAGAAAAGTCACATAATTTAATAATTTTGTGGGTATATTTGAATGAAACATATTTGTATATTTCAATTTGAAGATCTAGTAACAAGAGGAGCATGATTGTGATGGCAGAATCTGACCGATTTTGCTCAGAGTGGATATTGCTGGTAGTTCTTAGATACTAAATTTTTTAAAAATAATATCTCTTCTAGTTTAATTTTCTTACATGTACATACCAATACATGAATCCTTTGATTTCAGGAAAGAATTCCTGGAGATGCGCCTGTTCTACCAGCAGATGAATTACGATATCATAGAACAAAGTCCAAAATACTACTTTGCTCAGTTAATAGGTATGGTACTCCCATTTCTGAACAGTGTATCGTTATGTACGGTAAATGGCATACAAGCTGAGTAAAAATTAATCAGTCCAACAAGTTCATTATACTTGTTCATTTTCACAAAATTATTAATTTTCAATATTCCGCACTTAATGCTAGTAAGGTGTTTTCACCAGCAACTGTGAATGACCCAAACTGAATCTCATCTGCTAAATTCCAATATTGCATGATACTCAGTTTAAGTGACTTCGATTTGTATTGCAGGTGATATTGGCGGTCTGATGGGGATATTTGTGGGCTCAAGCTTCCTTACTATCTGCGAATTTGGAGATTTTCTTTTCTTGTTGCTGAAACGTAAATTCAGGAAATAGCGTTCAGTTTGATACAGTTTCTGGCAAGATTCACTTGCATCTATAGCTACGTTATGTGTGTGTGTATACCCACTTATTCTAATAACCGTTGATATATAACGGACAATTCTGCGCGGCTATTTCACTACCGCACACTGGTGCTTGTTAAGGGAGCGGACTGTTTATATCTCCGATGTGAGAAATTGTATTTTCGATCTCCAATCTTGTGATATTAAAGGCAAATATCGAGTAGACTGAAAGCCTCTGACAATATTTACTGAATTGGCTTATTTAAAAGACTTGGATGAACGGCTAAGTCAAATTTGCAATGACTGTAAACGATAAAATATGAAAATGACTTCTACAATTGTTGTTGTTGATGTTGGTAAATATAAATATCTTTGTGGTAAATATATTTGTGGTAAATATCTTTGTAACAAATTGATTCTGGTCCAATATGGACCCACGGTACAAGTATTATCACACAATCGAACTATTTGTTGTCGAAATTATTTAGTTTGTTAAAAAAATGCTATTGATGTTCATTTTCTTTTCAGATAAATATGTCATTGAACCCTCTGCCAAAGTGTTTATATGATACATTAAGGTTTGTTAGATGTAGAATGATATTAAAGGGTTTGCTTCATGCCGTCAGAATGGCCTGAACGGAACATATTCTTCAGAAAACATGCCCAACTAACGATATCTTTATCCAAATACACAAATTAAAAGCTCATTTGGTAAATTTTTGGCTTTAAAAAACGTCCTATTTGCTCGGCCTGGGAGTTAATGAGCTACGTGGTCACGTGGTCCAATGACGACAATCGAGCCACTGGAGAACAGAGCGTGCTTAGCTGTCAAACTGAGCTGCATTGTCTACCTGTAAGATGACTTCTCTGGCTTCTGATAAAAGTTTATACTCATTCAAATCTCTTACCCGAGGGGTCTAAATCCTCGTGAAGCTGTGTAAAACCATTTCCCGTCTAGTCATTTCTTTAACAAGCATTTCATTATGGTTATCCCAAGTTGTATAAAACACTGCATTTGAATGAGTTAAGGGAAATGTTGATTATTGCATATGAGGTCCATGTTATTTGTGAAATTCAATTTATTTTATTAAACCGCTGACACTCCGTCTTGCATACTTTTATTAAACTGAGGTAAACAATGCCCGTTACCTTTACAAGTCCTATCTTAATCATCCATCTAACTGGAACTTCCTTTACCTCTTAATTAGAGGGTTAAATGGCATTCAATTTGTCTTGCTTGTATCGAACGCACTCTCTATCTAAGCTTTACTCCAGTTATCTCAGGTAAAAATCTACCTGTGCGTTAGTTACAAAGCGCAGCTCCCGTAGACCTGGGGGTACTAGATAAAATCTGAACACCAGGTTTATCGAGGAGCTAGAGAAAGAAAGGAAGAATTTTNTCCTGTGAGTTTTATGACAACAGGCCTATCGGTTTTCCTTGAAATGTGTTAACAGTGTTGCATATATGCTAAAAAGTGAAAAAACAGCATAAATTCTACAATAATGGCCCGATCATGCTGATTTTCGAACTTGACCTGCGTTTTATGAATATTCATCAGCTCTGTAAATATAAAGCCAAAAAGTAAAACTGCCATCCACTTATCGTGTTAACGCTGAAAGTGCACGGCGACGGCGACAGCGACGGCGACATGATCGGCGACGGCGACGGCGACGACAGACGCAGGTGATGGCAATATGTACAGACACATCTGTGTCTGTACATAAAAACACAAAAACAGGTCGCTGAAAATTACCTCAGTCCTGTAGAAACGGAACACATTAGTGCTTAAGGCACATCCAACGAAGCCCTCTGGTCTGTCTGGGTTGTGCATGAAGCGCACTTCCAAGGGTATGGCCCCTTCAACCTTCCCCAGGTCAATAGTCTGCTTGAGAATATGGTTATCCCAATCCCATACATTAATACTGTGACCATAATGACCTTGTCAAGAAGTGGGGAAATGCATATATATATGTATTTATATATGAGGCAACATTGTAAATCATTTGTTAATTAAGATCTTTTTTACATATTTTTCCTAATTTTATTTCTGACCATGTGATTACATCAGGGGCTAGTGACATGCTGGTTTATGGCACAGGCCCATAAAAAGAAAAGCCCACCAATCTCTACTGTCAGTGTTGCTTGGTGACTCTTTTGATTAAATGTCAGCAGTTATAAGATCCTGTTAACTCTTAAAACCATTTTTCCTCTGATGACTGTAATAGATTTATGTTGCATATAGGGAGCATTGATTCCCAGTAATGTATATAAACCACTTCAGACAATGACTCATTTTATTCTTTTGCTCGTGCCTTGGTAACATTGTGTGGAAACAGCTTTACAGCTGTCTGGTAGTGAGGTAGACCTGTTTTGAAGCATTTTTCTGTTCCTTTTACATGTCTAACCTTACCCTTCTCATAATCTTCTGGATTAAATCCATTCATCAGTACTTTAGGAGTTCCCCACTGGCTGCTGATCATAACATTAAATTTGGGCTGATACCAGAAGTCGTAGCCAAATTCAGTGGTGTTTCCAGGCTTTTCCCAGTTCCCCTGTACAGCAAAATCACAACATCCATCCAAGATGACAAAGCCACCTGAAACATTTTCAATGAACAAGAAAAAGAAACATCATATTCTTTTATTATCATATATTATAAAATCAGCATGGATTTTGATCTTATATCCAAGGATATGACGTCTGGTAAAAACAAATTGGCCAAAATCATCATCAAACATAATATTGTACAATGACATCAACAATTTTTTGACCACCAGCTGAAAGAAAAAGAATCAATTTATTAATCAGAGAATGCCAAGTCAAATAAAAGCATCTTTCAATGTTATTTTGAAGAACACTGACATTTAAGTATTAGATAATATACTAAAACATGCAATTATAGACTCATACGTCAATATGTTGTTTTGCAGACCTCAGAAAAGTGATACCAACCTGCAACTGGGATGATATCACTTTAATGAGGTCTACAAAACAACATGTGTTCTCTCTGATATTAGTAAATCAACCCAAACCTCTCCAAAATCTGATTTGCTCGAAATCAAATAGCCTTATCAACAATATCTATGGTTATGCAACAAAGGAAATAATGGCTTCAAAGCTAACACAATCTGAACTATACACTTTACACTAGAAAGAAAAGAAATTAGACAATATGATTTATACTGAACACCACTGGAAATTTTAGCACTGCAGTCCAATGCATCTGCCAGAAAAGCCATGTTGTTTATTAACTTAGAAGACATAGCTTTTGTAACAAACCTTTGGCATTTCCTTTTGGATCTCCCAAACAGCTTATCATAACTTGACCATTAGCCAAACAATGGGCAGTGTGGGGATTGCCAAGACCAGTCTTTTGGTAAACCTCTTCAGGTTCCACAATCTATAAATCATATGTTTAAAACAAACCATCATTTTCTTCTAGCTTTTCTAACACTTCTAAAACCAAAAGCGATCGAAGGACTTCTGTGAGATTTGAGATGATCAAGTATGCCAACTCTAAAGTGGCTTCCCTGCCCCTAAACCAAAAATCACAGCAGCAGAGCAGGCTGGGTTGGCTGTTATCACTCAGCTAAAGCTGGACCTTATCTTGAGAGCAATACAGAATCCCCAATAGATATACACAACTATAAGAATGGTGGCTTCTGTGCAGTGTTGAGACCAGGCATTTCAGTACCTGGAGACATACTGCTAACAAAGGCAGTGGTGACAAAGACTTAGTATTCTTCTACAGCTCTTTATATATTTTTATTTTATTGCCAAAACATAAATTATCAAATCAAAGGAATTTTAACCCTTTCCAACAAATATGGGGTTGAAACAAGATCTGAGTAACATATCTTAACAAGTAAATATAGCAAAAAGATCCCAAAGAGTAAATCAACTGTCCAAATGACTTATATGAATAATGGGTGAAGGTTGTGGGAAATCTGTTAATAATTAACTAGAATAATTCACAATTGACACATGGTTGTGAAAACATTCCTACTCTGCAATACAGAGGGTGTGTCTGGCAAGGAGTGTGTTCTGCTAAATCATCCCCAATCCCAAAGAGGTCCCTCAACCACTTTTGAAATTGCCAGAACGTCTAGAAGGGCCTCTGGTTGTTATATGGTACCTTTAGCAAATGATGTTATTTAAATGTAACTAACTTCAATGCAGGCAAAAAAATACTACACTGCAGCGAAATGAAACTTCATGCTGACAAAACCAAACAAAATTTTATAAAACTGAACTGCAATCAAATAAAGCATGGGCACTTTACAAGCTTAAAAGGGTTTAAAGTTTTTAAAAGCAAACAAGAAAGAATACCTTGTAAATTTTGGGTTGAACAGGATCAGTGTCAGTGTCAACAATGTAAATGCGAGTGCTCATCAAAGAAGGCATAACCAAGCGATTTCGTTTCTTCGTGGGATCATCATAGCAGCTTGAACAGGCATTCCAGCCAGTGTGATGAAGCTCATCTCCTAAGTAGGGCATGTCCAGGCGATGGATAACCTGCAGGTTCAATAAATAATACAATGTACCAAAGTTGTGTAAAGTGCCTTTAAAAATTCAAACAAAGATTTAACTACAGTTATTACCAATAATAAGAATGATATTAATAATAATAATTTTGCTCTGTTTTTCTGGTTTAAACCCAATTTCTGTAAAAGCTATAACTATACTAAAGAGAATATATATACATTTAAATATACAATAGGGTGGTACATGCACCATAACCCAGAAAAGCTATCCAAATTAGGGTTAGCACTTACTTTGCAGTAATTCTTTGAATGAGGATCAATATCCACAGTGGCCAAATAATCGGGTCCAGTTGTTGCGGTGTTTCTACGAATGCAAGGCACATAGACAATCTTTTCCCGCGGAGCATTCCTCATTGCATCAAGGGGGCTTTTATACCCTGGACCTACTTCTTGACAGGCTGCAATATGAATAAGTGAAAGGTAAAGCTGGATATGTTTTTTTCTTTCTTAAAAATATGGGAAAATTGTTGTTTACTCCAGGAAAATTCATTTTTTGGCCAAAACGAAGAGTTATTATCACTTTAATTTTCAATCAATTACAATTCATAATAAATATGTTAAAATATCAGATATTAAATATAATGATAAGAATGATAATACGTTGACACAATGATCAGCATGTTGAATTTGGGAAATATAATTTCTAAAGCTTGGCAGTCTCAAGTAACATAGATTTTAAATATGCACATATTTCTCATCAGATTTTATCATATAACTATAAGAACAAAGTGGTCAGTATTGCAGTGGGTGTGCTGACCATGTACATCCACTGCACCTTATTTACTTAATTGAACACTTTTTGGGGTGCACACCCTTCAGTGTGTGCAGTGGGACAGTCTTGGTCAGTCTTCAGTAAGTCTCACAGTAATAGTGGCAGAATTTATTGGAAAGAAGCATATAATGGTGGGTGAAATATTTACCCCCGCCAAGGAGGTTATGTTTTCACCCTGTTTGTTTGTTTGTTTGTTTGTTTGTTTGTCCGTCTGTCATCAACATAACTCAAAAAGTTATGGACCAATTTTGATGAAATTTTCAGGAACTGTCAGAAGTGGGCCAAGGAACAGATGATTAGTTTTTGGTGGTTATCAGGATCAATAATCAATCAATAAACAAAAATATCGAAAATTTAGGGGTGAAACGGCATTGGATGGAGACTTTGCTACCTTGGCGGAGGTCTGTGCTCTCTGATTGCTTTTCTAGTTATGTAAATAATTTATTAAATACATTTGTTAACTATGTTTTATTGTTGTACATGGTCAAAGATAGTAATTTAGACAAGAATTCTTGAAATGATCTTGTGGTAACGCATTTCGGTTCAGTTTGGAAGGTAAAAATTTCATAGCTCTGAATAGTATCTATAGATAGTAGCAGAAAAGGTGTTTAAAGTACGAGTTAATTTGTATGCTAAGCAATGAGTTGTAATTTGTGTTTTTTGTTTTTAGTTCACTGCAGTGTCTGGCATTTAGGAGAAATAAAGGATTATGCCCGTTGAAAATGTGTCTTCTTAATTCTGTGGCCCTGATAAGTTTCAATAACAATCTTACTGGCTTCAGTTTGTTGTAATTTATTTGAACTGTTGGCATTATCACAGCTGTATCCTTTTTGATTTTTAGTTTTTCAATTTTTGTTTTATTTATACTTGCTGCATATTTAATTAAAAAAGAAAACACTTTGGTAACTAGAGTCAGACTTCTATAGTAACTTTTCCCATTATTCCTTTGAACAATTTGGGGGATGGTCAGAATCTAATATTTTAAAAAATTGTAAGGGTGCATTGCAATGAGCATAACACCTAGGCATATAGGCACCGACAGAGCCAGAAGTCTAGCGGGATCAAGTTGTAATTATATGGGACATAAATCCACGACATGGGTACACAGGCCCTTGTAGTCTAGGAAGAAAGGGGTAACAGTGACTTGTATCTGCCAACATGACATGGAACCAGTTACAACCAGTGGAAGCCGGTCGAAGCTTTATAACTAAACCCTAGTAGTGCTGAGCCTGGAATATTCTGGCACGCATTCGCACGCACTGTGACCGAGACCTGGATTATTCCACGATTCCCTATACATCACACACTTCCAACTTCAAAGTGCACTTATAACTATCCAATGGTAAAAAATTCATAGCAAAACAAAAAATACGATGTCATGGATAGCCAATTGAAATAAAACTAACATTCAAGAGTTCTGCCCATATGCTAAAACTGGTGGTACTAATAATGTGACAACCTTGCATCAGGTGACAGCGAAGGTCAAGGCTTAATAAATATAAATTCAGATAAAAAAAGAGATCTGAAAATGATGAAACCAGCTCAAGCACAGGAGGTCTGAAGCTGAGGGCAATAACCTATATGTACATATACATGGCATTAATCAGGACACTGAAGTCAGAACATTTCCTGCCAATAATATATATGCATTTGAAGAATTATTGTCAACAGCTCCAGAAGAAAAAAAAATTGATAATTCTTTAATGCATTTCATTTAACACTACAAAAGGGGGTGCTGGAAAAATTTCTCCCCACTTGTTTATGCAAATATAGCATCAAATGTATATTTAGTTAAGTCTTTAGATAAGATATATAAGGTTAAAGAGGTGCAGACAAAATTGATAAGTTAGTTAGCAAGTGGGGGCTTTGTGTTGTTTGTCAGTGTGAGCAACAAAATTATTTTTTGTCTTCTAAACACACTGATGTTTAATGAGCATAGCACTAAATTTGTTAGTATTTTTTTTTTATTTTACACTAAGTGGAGGAAATGTCAAATCAAGAAATGTGGGCAATGTCTGGACATAAAAACAACAGCATTAAGGTTTTCCCTCAGAACTGTTTTAAAATTTTCCACACTTACCAATACAAAACTCACTATGCCTTTTTTTTCTATAAACAAAATATATTTCTGTAAAATTAAAGTCAGTCAGGCTCGTTAACCAACTTGGCAGTTTTGTTTGGCCTAGCTACAATCATCATCACAGTAGCATCCAACACTGGGTTGCTTATATCCATTAAATTGATGGAAATAGAACAGCTGTTTGCTTATACGTGAAGTAAAGAGAAATTCATAAGTTGTTTTGCCCACAGTTTTGTTTTTTAACATAAGGACATCTATACACCTCTATATAAAATGGAAAACATTATTTAAGGGTGTCTGTGGCATGGCTTTCACACATATGGATATTGCCTAGATACTAACAAATCAATTTACATCCCTATATGTATCACAACAGCTTATGTGAAGTAAAACATGCATATGAGGTAATAAATACAAATCTAACAATGTAAACACGTGGTCCTGTATTAAACATTCTGAGTCGGGACTAAATAATTTTTCAGAGTCATGGAAACTAATATCCATCTATCTGAATTTTAAATGTGCTTGCTTTTTAACTTGTAATGGGTACATAACTCATTGACAGACATTTTATAGGGGCATTTTCTAAATAACTAATATTTAACATTGCTCAAAATTAAGAATGCTAGGAACCTTCACTTAGATGCATTTCACAAGGAATCTAAAAAGTCGCAATCTCTCTTTTAAAAAAATCTATTTTAGATTGCATTCACAACGAGTTGAGCCAGGCTTTACAAATCCTGGAACTAAATATGGCGGATGTACATGAAAGAAAAACTGCCTAATCTTTTTCTTTTAATAGTCTCTCCGCCTCTCACACGCCTCCCCACATGTCGAGAAATATTAAGTGCGCATGCTCATCAATTAAACTCGAGGTGAAGAAAGCATGGCGGCTAGAGGCAATCGAAGGAAAAAAGCTCTTCTGTTCTTTTATCTTTCAAAACAGAGACGAAAAAGAAATGAATTGGCCCGTAGAGCAGCAATGAATTGGCTATCTACAGAGATAATGTCACCAGAGATATTCACGGAGATACCCAGCCCCAGTAGACGGAGGAAGAGGGCAGAATTTTTGCGTATGCAGTCTTGTCAGAGGGGGCAGTTCATTCTGATGCTGATGTTTGCCTTGTTCCCTACACCTGATCGAAATGGAAGGGGGGGGGGGGGGNGCGGTTTTTCTTTCATGTACGTCTGCCATATTTAGTTCCAGGATTTGTAAAGCCTGGCTCAACTCATTGAGAATGCGATCTTAGTGTAGCTTTTAAATGTGGTTCTGTTGGCAATGACATCCACTCTTAAAGCCCACTTGGTTTCAGCTACATCTACATTTCTAGGTATATTTATTTGTTTCTGCTGACATTAAACAAACACAAAACATACATGTAGAGTGTAATTAGAGTGGTTAACTGCTGGAATTTCTGGGAATACTCTATAGTTTGTAACATTTTAAGCTCTAACATTGTATGCATTTAGATAAAAACACAAGATCACTTTAATAATATACTGTCTTTATTTGCCATGGAAGGCAAACTAATGTGTGTGTGTGTGTGTGTGTGTGTGTGTGTGTGTTTTGACAAGAAGTTAAAACTTTGACCAATGATATTATGTACAGCAAATGTTCACCTCTGTGATGGACTCAGCTAGCTCATTATTTCAATCGGACATCTTTAAACAGATATAAACCATATCCCCAAGTTGATGCCAGTGTAACGATACTGAGGTTCTCTGTAACAGAGAGTCTGTCCTCCACTTAGTTATAATGGTTAGGGTTAGTCTGACATTAAGTGGGTCAAAATCTAGAGGGGGTGAGGGTGGGGCTTACCTGTACAAATGAATAATAATAACAACAATATCAGAATAATATTAATAATAGTAATCTTTATTGAGATATTGCAACCACCACAGTTAATAATTTATGTTACATTTATTTAATTCACAATTCAAAGGAAGCCTGGTCATTTTGGCTCAGTTGCGCAATATGTATAGTTATCGCTCTCGCTTCCCTGAGGAAGATACACAGACGCTCAAAGCTAGCAAACGCACCATTTCTCCACTACCAGACAAGGCCTGCTAGCTGCTTCAACCGCTTAGTGCTGAGTGCCAAGCGGGGCAGACAGCAGGTACCGTTTATTAGGGCTGCATGGTATGTCCCCGGACAGGGTCAAACCCACATCCTCCCGCTCCAGAGGCGAGCACTCTAACCACAAAGCTTTCCGGCCCTGTGCAACAAGTGGGATTCTGTCACGTTACACCAGTTAACTATACAGCCACAACTTCAATTAGTGCAGATTATAATTAACTACACCGACTAAAGCGTGATTAATATCTGAAACATATTTACCCATTGTTTAAAATGTAAGTCTTGCAAGTCTCGCAACGTGCACACACAGCTTTGCTCAGCTATCTGGTTTGTCCCTGTTTGTGACTTGCACTTTGGTTTGTGTGGTCTTACAGTGAAGTTGGAATATCAGACATTGCGCAAGTAGGCTATTTTGAGCGACACCACTTGTTGGCTCCTGTGATTATCGCACACTCACTACACAGTGACCACAGGGTCCGCTGC